ATGTCTGAATGTATTTTAATTAATTTCACATAATTATTTAAAATATATTTAGATTATATTAAGAAAAGCTGAAAATGAATAGCAATAAATTTTAAGGAGTGAGGTTAACGATTATTACTCAAGTTATTTTTTGAGTTTACCTAAGATTTCGTTTGAATAGAAAGGATTTCGGAAAATAGTTGAGAAAATTATCTCTTAGATATTTTATTGTTATTGTTTAAATTGTTTCTATAATTTTTCAATAATTTTAATTCAAGAAATTTTGTTATTGTTTTTATATAAATCACACATTTTTACTTCCTCTATCGAAAATTCCTTCATCCCTGTCTGTTCTGACTTGGTCTAAGGTTTTGATTCTGACTCTATCGACGGCCTAACATTTTTCTTCCCACCGAATAATTAGATGACTCAAGGTCTCTCCTGCCTACTCATTTTCGCCAATTAGACAACTCTAATTAATTCCTAGACGTATATATCCCTTCTCGAAGGGCCTAGAAGCTTCGAGAACGCAGAGTTTTCGAGAAACACGGACGGTAGTTTTCAGTATTCGTCGGTTACTGCGAGTATTCGTACGTAGCTCGTACTCAGACGACTCTTGGGCATCATCGGACGATGCCAACCCACAGACAACTCGTCTTAACAGTCAACTTGGTACGTGTGTACCAGCAGAGAGCTCACGCAGTCGAACTCTCTAGTGAAAACCCAGACAACTCCTCAGACATGGACTAAATCACCAGTTAATCATCTATAGTGATGATTATGAACTCATCAGGCAGTCTACCTCTTAGAAGACATCCTCAGGAAGCTCATGTTGGTCCGCATCAGCACCTTCTTACAAAAGGCGCGAATGATGTCGGCTTCGACGCCTCACGGTCTCATAGACAAACACATACACAAGATCTATACACGAACAACTCGCTTGTGTCTGTGTGGCTGACGCCAACACAATGAAACTCAGACTACTCAAAAAAATCAGGCTACTCCTGGTGCAGAGACCAGTACAGGAAAACTTACAACTTTCCTATGATCCTCTACTCATCAGTGAACTCTGTGTGAAATTTCCGTGAACTCAAGACTGTACAGACAATTCAAAGACTCTTTTATTGTTATTTTTCTGTTACTGTGATTTTAGTGTTTAATAAATCGTTAACTGTTACTGTTAAATAGTGTCAGCCAAATCATTTACACCGTTCAAAAGTCCCGACTGTTCTAGCATCCAAACATCCTAAAAAATACAGTCCACAAAGTCCCGACTTCTCACTCAGCCGACTCAAAGTCAGAACACTGTCTATTGGTCGAAAGGCTAGGACTAAAAAAAGGAACTTAAAGTCTTTAAGGTTAAGGATATGGTTTACATATTGACACCGTTAGAGAGCAAAATTACATGACAATATATATATATATATATATATATATATATAACAATAATTATTAATTCAATTATAAATTAGAAGTAATATTCTACAGTTAGAAACACGTAATTGATGAGTAAATTAATATGTTCTTAATTTGAAAGGCAGCTTACTTCTGTAGCAACATTAATTTGATTGTAACTTATATCAAGAGCTTTGAGCCACGATGCTAATTCCAATGATTTATTAAGTCTTCCAACACTATTATAAGGTAAATCTAATCGTTTTACTGATGCTCAAATAAAACCAACACCTACATCATTTCCACATACTGCCAATAGTCAGTATATTATTCCAACGTCACCATTTCCAGTACAGTTTATACTCTCTAATTGTCCTCGGATACCTTGAATAACTTTAACAAAATTTATGCATAATGCTTGAAGCTTAAAATATTTAAAATGGTGAAAGTATATATTATTTACTATAAAAATGGTCAAATCAATAATTTCTATTATCACCGATAATAGAAAATTGAACAAATTAGACAGCTTATTAGCTAAAACTAGGGTCAATAAATTTTTTATTTATGAGAATATTTGAAGTACACATAAACACTGTTTTATTCTAAATTAGATTTACCTCGATGATATTGTTGTAAAGTAATAGTAATAAAATTGATGATATCATAGCATCTTTGATATCAATAAAATTTTTAGGTTACATACACATTACATGTATTTGAAAGATTCTTCATATGAAAACATAGATAGATAAAAAAATGCTTATATCAATTAATTTATGTTTCAATTACTATTTATTGTTTGTTTGCCACTTTATTTGATTTAAATTTAATATTTAACATTCAGTGCTATCGATTTGTGCCAACAGGGAACTAACCTTATTACATAGCGCTTTTCCACACTGAGCTTCTTCTCGCTATTTTTTCGATATATGGCTACAGGGCAACCAACCTACCAACAAAAAATTACTACCCTAGTTTTATGCAACTTTGCGCCATCCCACAAATAAAATTTCCTTAAGACGAATCCTCAAGAAAGTTCTCACTTTCTTAAGGATCCTCACTCAAGTTCTCACTTGATTAAAAAATTACAGAATTGTATTGACCAGGATTCTTTGCGAAGTTGTTACAAAGTAAACTATCCCCAAATAGTTTAAATAATTGAAACAATATTTATTAATTCCAACTAACAACAATTATGGTTAACAATAATCTATTAAAAATTGCTATTCGACAATAATAAATAACAAATACAAAGATAAACCAGAGTAGCGCTGCGTGTATATCATACACGGCAACATACATTAGTCTTACTCTTCTTAACCAACAATTTAGTTTTACAAAAATCTAATGTAACAGGTTAATCTAACTAAGACTTTCAATACGTGTTTGGCTCAACGGTGGCGATACAAAATAAACAGAACAACAAATTGGATATTTGCAATAATAATCCCCCCCCCTCATAAATATGTAGCCCCTAGACCTTACCCCTAATTGGTTGAACTACGACCCAACCCGGGATACTTTGAGAGCTAACAACTCTTCTAGGGGTACAGGTGTAAGCTGCAACTCTTCACGCTCTAACCTAAAAGACTATCTAACGTGGATAAGCTTCAACTTGTCCCAGAGTACCCTGGGAACTAACAACTCCTAGAGGGAAGGCTCTAACCTTGTCTAAAGAACTGACGAGCTTTAACTCGTCAGCGAGGAGCTACAACTCCTACACAGACTCAATCGTGAGCACCAACTCTCGATCGCTGACTAATACCAAGAGCACCAACTTCTGGCTGGAAGGCTACAACCTTCTAGGTCCTACGGTTGGAAAGCTTCAACTCTCCGGAAAACCAAAAGGCTACAATTTTTTAGTCAAAGCTTTTACTCTGATTTACAACGTGAGCTACAACTTTCGTTGGTCTCGTCGGTCGAATACTTCAGAGACAAGTAACGATCTCCGCAAAATCTACCCCTTTTATACCGTTTGACTCCACCCACTTATTTGGCAGCGTGGAGGAGTCGTCATGGAAATGAAATTTATCACAAACATCCCTCTCTTTCTGTCGTTCATGAGTTCTTTCTTCTGTCTTTATTTGCTCTATGGCCTTAAAGGCAAAACTGCTCGGACGATAAATTTCAAAATATAATCGATAAACTACTTTGATAGTTTATCGACCTGTTTGCTAAATGATTTTCCTATTTTATCCACCCCCCAAGGACTAAACTTCATTACAAAATAGACAAGAAATTGTAATTGATGCTGCAAATGAAAGCTTATATAAGAATTATAGAGAAAATGCACGTATAATTTGCCCATAGATTATATAATTATTAGGTAAATGAAAAACATAGAATTGGTGAAGGAAAAAATTTTTTGTCAAGGGCATGATAGCAGAGAAATTGAGAGTGAGAAAAAAAGAGAGAGGGCAAAAAGTCAAGACGTCACATGGCGCGAGTGACGAGCAGTCACTCTTAATTCCCTATAATATTTCATTTCTATGATCAAGAAGTCAATTATCTCCTCAGTTCGCATACTTGTACAGTGTTATGTTCAAAGAAAATTTTATAGGAAGTTATTATTTTTATAATATTATTCTAAGAAGTAGCTGGCGATATTCATGGAGGCTTTGACTAACAGGGGGTTTTCTCCAATACTCAGATTTATGAATATTGAAGTTAAAAATAAATCTGGGATTTGTTAACCGAGATAGGAACCCTACGCCCTCGAGATTCCTTAAGCAATATTAGTGGTTAGAGAAAGTATAGTTAAACAAAAAATGTACACTTACCGCTTCCTTACATCTATGTGAGGTTTGAATGAAAGAGACGGTTGATCAGTAGAATTAAAGAGGCTGGATGATACGTAGAGGTGATTACCATGATCAGAGAAGCACTTAAATTAAGGGAGGAAAACGAGGCGTTAAGTCAATAACTATAACACTCCGCGTGATTCCCTTTAGTTGCACTACACTTTTATTAAAGCAAAAAAAGAATACAATGAAGAGATGAATATAATAATGATTTTTAATACCGATCTTAATCGGATAATTCTTAAGGGTAAAAACCCAGAATAAACTATGAGTCCCTTCAACGCGTCTTAGTATTCACAAAAATATTATGTTGGTGTTTCTACAGATCCTGAGAGATTTAGAAAAGAACATATTACGCGACGGGTTAGCGAATGCGAGCCGTCAACCAACGTTTTACCGCTAGCTTGAATTGACTGAGCCCCGAGTAACATTTTAGGGTGATTTTTATACAGGTAGACGTTAGGCGTTGGCCCTTTTGATTTCCAAGAGAAAATTGAGGACATTTGTGGAAAAGTACTGGATTTCCAAATATTCTTGACTGATAGAGAACATATTTTTAGCTCTTATTTACAAAACTGTAGATAGAAAAGAAGAACTCAGGAATTGAATCATGAAGCCAGATTTAAACCCTTTACTTTGTGAATTGTCACTTATCGGATTATCCAATGATGGCAGTTTTGGTAGGATGTAATATGTATAATTTCATTCCATAAAATCAACCATTTTTTGCATGCAAGAAGAATATTTATTGAAATTTTCTTTATTCAGTGCAGGTATAAAACATAAATTGTTTTCAAAACAAGAACTGTGCAGTGTCATTGAAGAGATATGAATTTACTAGATATTAGCCTTTTGGTAAAAATTTATTATAATACATGTAAATTGAGAATAAAACGATCTGTATCTGTCTTTTCTGTATCCATTAATTAATCAACCGAACTAATTCTCAGCCCATTAGTGAAGATGGATCTGGGACATCAGTATGTAATAATGACTCAGCATGGATTGTTAACAATGGGTTACTGTCATCACCATCAAGTGATACATAAATGTCAGTAATAACTGTTCCATCAGGTAATCCAGGTGGTATTTCTTCCGGTGAAATGGCATAGTTGAGAATAGTATAATTCATATTCTGTACAAAAAAAGCTGGATTATTATACATTCTGGGGGCTTAGTTGACAGTGATAATATGATTGTAATAAGTTGCGAAAATGAAGTTAATTCTAATACCAGTGTTGACAAAAGATTTTATTAAAATAAAACATTTTGATGATAATGAGCCTGAGGTAGATGTCTATACGGCGAAAGATGGCCAATCGAAACAATTTATAAAACTGTTGACTAAGTGTCGCTAGTAATTGTTTAGTTCGCTTCGCTTTGTATGGAGGATTAAAGCTAAGACCAGAAAGGAGAGACAAATATAGAGGTCCGATGTGAATAGGCGCTTACAGATGAACCTTTTACATGTATTAGCCGACGTTTTATATGGCCAAATGTAAATCTGTTAGTTGAAACTAGATTCCAATTTTTAACCTGGATTTGAACTTCTATAGCAGTCCCTTTTCTCTGGCTATGACGAAAACTTTAGCAAAAACGATCAAGAAGTAGAGACAGCTAGTGAACAGTTCTATAAATTATTTCGATCAGCCATCACTCCCTATATGACTGGCTACCCTTGAATTACCCTAAAAGTAACACAGTTGTAAATGAATCAGTATAAAGTCTGTTACATTATGAAAAAATCAAAATCGTTTACAATTTATCTATTTTTAATTTTACCGGAAGTACAGGGCATTGTTTCGGAAATTCATCTCTTGGTACTCCAGCTTCCAACACACTTGGAGCAAACACTTTATCATCAAATAAATTACATAATTCACCTTTCATTGGTGGAATCGGTTCGCCATTATAGACAATGTAATTGCTTAACTGTTCAAAAACAAAAAAGAAACGATTATTCAATTAACAATGAATCATGATTATTTTCAAAATAGGTTTTTTATAGTCAATTATCACGTCGCTATCGTAAGAAAGCAAAGGGGCTAGTTGCAACAATTTTCAGTTTTGTGAATAAGGAAATTAAAATATTGAGTAGTCTCATGATGAAGCGGTTTTAAATGAAAGAATAACTATTCAAGTATTAACTAAATCAAGAATTGGGGTTAATAATAAAAAGAAATGTTTTTATAAACAATTTTTTGTGAAAGTAGTGGCATGTTTTTGTTTCCCCAGTTCTGGAAGCAAGTTGTAACTGACGTGGAAAAAGTATGAGAGTAGTAATAAATAAATAAAAAATATTTGTATGATTCTCAAACATAAATTTTAAATCTACATGAAAAATGTTTATTCAACGAATATACTATAAACTCATTTCAACAAGACATTGTAGTAACTTAGAATCAATCTCTACGAACTTAATTGTGTTAAGTTACGCTGAGTGATTAATAGTCGAGTAGCTAAAAAATATACTCAAGGAATAATTGTTTAATGAAGATGGAATTATTGTAAAAAACACCGAGGAGAGCATTTGTGGAAAGTATTTTCACTTGGAATTGATTATTACTATCATTTAAGTGACGTACAACTTCTGCAACATGCATTTTTTCCCTTTCACCGCTTACGTAGCGACAACGGTGATAGATACGAGGAAAAATAAAAATACTATTTTTGTAGAGGTTCGGATTATCTACGAAAAGCCCGCAAGAACATCTGTTTATCTGAAACAGGTAAAGGAGTCTTCGAAGCGCTGTACAATACTTTACACAAATGCTCTCCTCGGTGTCTTTTACAACAATTTGTCGTCAAAAAAATTCCATCTTCATTGAACACTTGCTCGCTAGTAAGATAGATCTTAAAATTTCAGCGACTGGACTATAAGTTGTTATTACCTACACCTACACAGGAAAATTTTCTAGAAATTTTTGCTAGTAAATTTAGAATGAAATTCACTAGCCAAAAAAATTAAAAAGTTTTTTTTTAGTAAAAAAAAGCTAAAAACTTAGGAACAAGTATTATTCTGATTGCTAAAAATTACGAAAAATAGTAAAAGGGCCTTAGTTGGTTGGCAAGAATTTCTAGAAAAGAATTTATAAATTCAGGCATTTTTATCAACTTTTTTCTAAGTTTTTAGCTTTTTTAACTAGAAAAAACTAGTAATTTTTAATTTTTTTAGCTAGGAAATGTTATTCTAAATGTACTCGTAAATATGCTTAGAAAATTCTTCCCGTATATATTTATTACGCTTTTGTCTTAAGTCTTATAACTATTTTTGGATTTGAATAGTTGTAGTTAGTCGAAAGAAAGCCTTTACAAAAATAGAATCAGCAATGCAGAAAGTTTACTTGTTTTCTTGAGGAAGATAAAAACTAAAATATTGTTGTTAAGTTAAGAATTTCTAATCACAAATAGAAGCAATTAAAATAGCACATTACAGTGAATGCTAATAATTTTCAGTGTTACCCATCAAGTGCAATGCGGTTCTGAGTGTGATAAGGGATTTGTGTGTTACAATTGACTTAAATTTCAAAATCCTCTTCATGGCATGAGACAATATATCATCACAACAGCATTAACATACAATTAAGAATTAAGACAATGTGCTCCATCATTGAAATGTCATATCATTATAAATTTCTTTCAACTTCTGTAGACAAATAAACCAGATTCTCATTTCCGAATTCTCATTTATGATTATTATTGTTTGCTGACCGATGAATGTATAATAAAAAAATATCAAAAACTTACAATTATATTATTTGGAAGCTCCTTATGAATTGGTATCTTAATTGTCACTGTATCGTTATGCTGTCCATTTATTATTACGTTAACATTTGTAACATAAGGATTTGGATATACTTCAACAGTCACCTCTTGTATTATAAATCGCTGAATAGACTAAACAAATATTATTATGTCAATTATGATCAATAGGTTTATAAGTTTGTATCAAAGGGAAGAGAAAAACCGATACACGCAATATTGAAAGTCTTGTTCTTTCTAAAAAAAACGATTTCGACTTACTACTCCTGAAACTAAGCCGAAAGCTAAAATTATTCCAAAAATAGTTAAATAAAATTTCATATTGAAAGGTGTTATGATCGTAACCTAGAAAGAAGTTGGTGATGTCATCCACTACTAAGTTCACTACAGTCTTGTTCGTTCTTTTATACTTACTGTCTTTGCTATCTTTATCTGTTTATCATTCAATCGTTTTATTTATTTCAACTATTTTTAGATTTACAATTGTTGTATTATTCTCAACAAAGCAAAAATCACGATTGATAAAAAATTGGACGTAAATATTGTGATAATAGTTAAAAAAAAATCATATCTCTCCCGGAAAATATTTTGATTTTCATGTAGTCATTATTGAAAATTATCTTTGTTATCTAACACATATCTCTTTTGTTCTTTTTGTATTCATCATAGCAGAAAACAGTAATTATTGTAAACGACACTAGAAGGTACAAAAAGATTGTTCGTGTTTCATGAAAATACCATGCATTATCAAATCAAAATTATCTTATCGACTAGAAATATTAATCATTCTGTTCATTTCCGATTTTTTTTTTACCAAAAATGTGATTATATACTGAAAGATATGATCTAATCATCTAATAATTCTCTTCATTCCTATTTTAAAGGCATCAACGATTTCGTTACATCCAAAATATTTAGACCAAATATTTGTATTTGGTCCCGTACTTGATTCCTCTTCCCTGGTAGAACCACTCGGAAATGCGGTGTACACAGTTTTAACATCTGACTTTACTACTTCAGACGCTTCAGATCCTGGAGAAAAAGTCGAAGTGACAGCAAAAATGACTGAATCAAAGAGGGACATTCCATCTTTTCGCTTTGTAACAGACCTTCCGTCGTCCCCGTGAAAGTGCCAAAGACCAAAACTTGATAAACAGGGTAGGTAACGTTTTCCAGCAGTTACTCTCTTACGTAAACAACTGTACTCAACTGTGCTAACAAAAAATTCGACTGTTGAGAAACAGAACACATCAATTGAACATATTGAACAGATTTGCAAACAAGATCAAAAAGTGTCAACAAGATGCTTTTAATATTCAGGGTCTTAGACATTGTTTATAGTCGTTATAAAAGCTTGGATTCTATTTTTCATTTCGCAAACAATTTTGAATTGTTGAGAAATAATATGTTCTTCTTGCCTATCGGTGTACCGTTAAGTAGGAATGGCTTAGGCTCGCTTCCTGATCCTAATAGTGTATTTTTCCCGCAGCAATTAGCCTGTGCAAGTGGTAGAGTCGTCTTTATTTGTTACGCTAGAGGTTGAAAATGTTTAAATTATCGATTTGTTGTCCTCAGGTAAACTACCGGATAACTAATCAATTATCTTGCAAAATATCGTTTCATACAGGGTAACTCCTCTTCAGTTCTCAAATTGTTACAGAATCTAACAAGCAATTTCAGCTTAAGCTAGCTCGAAATTCTGCATCGTGTCGGAGGCCTTTACATCTGAGCATATATATGTATATAGCATTACATAGAATAGGACAGGTTTGAATTTTTTAGATTTCAATTTAAATTGTGATTTCTATCGTTTTGCCTTTTTAATTTTGTCAGTTGTTTAAAATATGCTCACATTTTTTTTTTATTTCTTTAACATTTAAGATTTGGTTGCAAAATCATTCTCGAAAACCATTGCATAATGAAAAATTCCACGACCTTATTCAATTTCAGTGAGCGTAAAAATTCAATCGGTTTATCAATATTGATATTTCAGACATTAGATAGTCAGTTTTACTAGTTGATAATTCTAAGTGAGTAACATATTACAATTTATGTTTTATATATTGATAAAGTTATGAAGTACATACAAAATTTCGAAATAATATGGAATTGTGTTCATAACAATTGAACATTGTTACTAACAAGTGATTATTGATCATAGTAATATTTGAATAATAAGTTTTAAATTGTTATAAACAATAAAAATAGGGACCCTTTCTATATATATGAGTACTTTTAACGCATAATTTTTTCTTTTACTAAAAAAATGTTACCAACCGTATGACATAAATGAAAACATACTTTTTTCGTGTATAACAATGAAATTTGTTGTAAATAATGAAAAAAAGGATCTATGAGGTATATTTGAATTCTTCTAACGCACAATTTTTTCTTTTACTGAAATAAAGTAATTTACCATATCAATCGAATAAAAACACGCTCATTTCGTTTATAACAATTCCATTTGTTACATAGAATGGAAACGGGTTCTATTCGAATTGTTTTTTCATTTTTTCCACTGGGAAGTTGGTCGTGTGGACCTTTCGGGTCGCACCCAGACCACTGCAGAGCACTGTTATTATTTAAATCTTAAGTTACACACTCGATTATATATATTGTAAAATATTTGTATGTTGCCATCTAATGACTAATAGACTAACGACAGTTTTATAAGTTGTTAACGTTACTTGATGATTAGAATGTTTCTAGCAACGAGGGTAGAGTTTGTTGATCTCCAGTTTTTGACTGAGACTTGAGTTGATCGGACGTCTTCTTTTCAATCAATTAATAGCTGTTAATCTTCAATAAACATTTCCATTACTTTATTGATTTCAGAAGTTATTTCTTGGATATATTTTACAATATAATAAAAAGAAGACAATGAGACAAAATCGAAACAAGCGGAGAAAAACAGATGAAGATGAGAATAAAATCAGATGAACTAACGTTTACAGGAGAAAAGCAGAAGTAGATCCACAATCAAGCAAAAATCTGACTAATTTCGGAGTAAAACAGGTGAAATCATCAATTTTAGGTATAAAACAGATAAAATTTTTCGACTTGGGTTGAATTTTTTTTCAATGAAACTAATTAAGCCTGTATTTCATACTAGCACTTTGCTTATATTTCGGATTGTGTTGTCTGGAATGTAATTAAATATTTATTAAAATTTTATAAACGGCAAATCATTGGTCGTGATAATTTGCAACGCCATAATGGTCAGTAAAATTCATGCTTTTTTGGAGCTTTTTCGAGTTTGATATTGAAATTTGTTTGTCTCGAAATAAAAAAATAAATGATTTAAAAAAACAAATCCAATGAGTCATTATAATTTATAATGTATTTTTTCTCATTTAGGTACAACAAAATATTATAAAATGAAGGAAAATTTGCCTTTCTGTTTTCTCTCAATTTTCTTTTGTATCCAATGAAGTGAATCATTGGTAATTGAAATAATTATTTAACTAAATACTTTCTTGTTAATATAATATTTCAATTTAATACTCAATTACTAAAAAAACTAATAAAATAAATTATAAATTTAATTCTTCTCCTATGTAACGAACAACTTTGGAAAAACGTATCGAGGTTTCTCGAGACCATCAGTGCATTCTACACGGAGAGAAGGATCGAGTAAAATTTACACTAAAAAACAGGGTAAAAATTGTTCTATGCAGCGTAATGCTGGGATGGTGGTAATTTTTATATTTCGTTAGGATAAATATTACTCAGTATGCAGGGTAAAATTTACCCCTGGTGTCAAATTTAAATACTAAACAAATAACATTTATCGACTGTAGATTATTTATAAATTAAAGCAGTATAAAAACTTGATATATGAGTTTTCATGAAACAAAAAAATATTTGCAATACGTTTTGTTTACCTCAATTATAATAAATAAATTACATAATTAATTAAAATTTCTATGAGATGATTTTTTTCTATTATAATAAAAAAAAAGAATTTTCTTCTATACAAGGGAAAGAATTAAAAGGAATTGATGAAAAGGTTTTTTTCAAAAAGAAGAATTTAGATTTAACTTGAAATCATGAACAAGTTATTTAATTTTTATTGATTTACTGTACATAACATCTTAAATATTATGGCCACCTTCTTACAACATAACTATCACCATTGCTGATTGTTACAATGTGTGTAACACAATGGAATCTAATTGATCTAATCATAGAATTTTCCACTCCCATATCATACTTGCCATTCTATATGACTTAGGAATAGTATTTTAATTTATTTGTATCACTTTTGATTCACATTGATGCGTACTATATGAAGGCTGTTGCACTATTGAAAAAAACACTAGGTCTACGCATACGTATTGCGCATATGGTGATTACGAATACACTCGAAGACAACCGACCATTGTAATCTCACTGCTTTAGAGTGCGGAGAAATAGTGGAATATTTTTGTGTGGTTAATGCAGCCTGGCAACAGAAGGATTGATTTTTGGTTAATAAATTCATATTTAATCGATACTTGTTCTTTGATAATTTTACGTAACGAGGAACCTTCAACTCCATCCTTTTATTTGTTGTTTCGGTAATTTTCGCGGGGTGCAACCGATAAATCTCTTTGCCGGACCTGACCCTCTTTCTACAACCCACATAACTGAGCTCCAGAAGATTCCCTGTCAGGACCTTTTTACCAACAGCATCTTACTTAAGTTTAATTTTTAGATTTTGGAACTAGTTTTAAGCTATTGATTGTTCTAACGTTTGGTTTCAGATTTTTGATTAGAAATTAGTTGTAAGTTTTGGTCTAAGTTTAAGGTTTTTGGGATTTAGATGTAAGTTTTGCCAGTTTAGTTATTCTGGCGATTAAAATAACTTGGCGCCCGTCGTTTATGATGTTTATAAGCAAAACAGGGATGTTAGTTGGTAAAATAGTGTCCTGGAGGAAGGTGAATATTTAGTACACCTACCCCAGTGGAAAAATATCGTTACAAATGGCGCCCCCGACGTGGGGCTGGGCGAATAATTTTCAGTTGTTGTAGTTTCGGAGTAGAGTGGTTGATTTCACTCTATTTTATTTGATAATATTGTCTAAGAAATGATGAATTTGGGGCATTAGAATAAGTAGAAGTTGTAGTTTATGGGTTTTGATTTATGTTGAGATATTTGTTGAATTATTGAGAATTTTGTAGAGTATTAGTCAGGGGGAATTATTAGTTTATTTCCTTTGTCTTGGTGTTGAAGGTTCAAGCTGAAAAACGTTCCTTTTTTTTTTATTTAGAGTGCTTTCTTTGATGGGTTCTGGAACACTCTTCAAGAGATTAATTTTTGTAGTCAATCAGAAAACGTCAAGAGATCGAGAAATTCAAAGATTTTATTGTTTAAATTCACGGAATCATTCGATATAAAATGTTAGTTAGGGATTGAGCTTAATCCAGTTAAGAAAACTACGCAAATCCTTTTCTATAAACAATTTTTTTTCCGTATCAGTATTAGCTCTAGTAATATTCCAGATTTTCCTTTGTTTGTTATCGTTGATGTTGTAAAATTAGATTAACAAAGTAAGTTCGAGACATGCTTTGTTTATTCACGGGACCGAGCTCTAGTTTAATTAAGTAATTTTTTTTTTTGCTTTGCCTAATTTTGGCTATGGAGAGGTCTTCACCACCCGCTTCAGAGATACACCTTTTTTCCCCTTTTTTCCTCGTAAATTTACTTATTTTGGTTTCACCTGTAAATCCCTCGAATTTACGATGGAAAGATCTTTGTTCCCATATTGTAAACAAAGTGTACTTGCTACGTACCTTTCCGGTAGTAAGGGCAAAATAAGCCAATCAGAGAACGCAAGAGATGACGCGAGAGCAAATCCGAGTGTCAGTTCTTCAATTAATCAAGTGATATTTCACTAATAATAATAATATTAATAATAATATAGTAATTATCAACGTTATTGTGGTGGTAGTAAATTATTTAAGTAATTAAATAAAATCAAAAGGCTGTTAGTGGGTGTAAGGAAGTGGATAAGTGCCACGAAAGTAGCTGTTGGATTAAGTACAACACATTTATCGGTAAGTTCCAGTCTTGTTACAGATTATTGCATGATCTAGTGTGCTTCTATGCTTTTTATTAGTGTATTTGATCATTATCAAAGTGAAGATCTAAATAATTTACCCTAAAATCATCGTTGGAAAATGGGAAGAAGTCAACTAAACCAGTGTGGTAGTGCACGTGCTAGCGTTGTGAATGATACCGCAATTTCATGAACGATTCAGTTATTTGCTCTGAATAGTATCATATTAAGTTGTGTGGGAATCGCGGTAAAATTGTTTATTGTCGATTATTTGTGTCAATTCTGGGGTTATTAGCATCTAAAAACGAAAATTTCTAGCCGTTTAGGGTTCTTTGTCAGCGAGATGCGCAGAAAGACGCGCGGTGGAGAAAACGAGAGACCAACGTCAACCTGCACGACTTGCCTCAGTTGCGAGCGGCAGGCATCCCCTCTCCTCGCAACACTCACGCTCGACGCTCGAACGTTGAGTTGAGAGCAAGTTGGGTTCATAATTTTTACATTATTGTAACACTCTCAATTTACCACCCTTAACTTTGTAATTTGGCAGAAGGCTAGAAAGAAGGTTAAATTTTTAAATATAAGTCATAAAATTGTAAAATTTTTAAAATTGAGGGAGTTATGAATCAATGTAAAAAAAAATCATATGTTGTCATTGTGAAACGTAACTAAGTGTTGATTTTGTTCATTTTCGTGACTTTAAGATAAAAGTTATGCGGTCGTTGTATATTTCTTTCTCAGTTAAGCATACAGATTTGTTCTAGTCTTCAAATAATTCGTTACTAAATCAATCAAACAGTACTAGTGGAGTAATTGTAAATCATAACAACCATTAATCTTTACTAATAAATATGTAATTAGCTCTTTTGACCAATTGTGATTTTTTTCCGGTGAATACTTAAAAATGGTTGGTAGCCATGAGTCTATCTCCTTCAATTGGTGGCCGACGTTTAAGTCAACATGGTAGGCTCGAATGAAACGGTGATTTACAACAAAAATACATAATATAAATGTATTAATTTTTTTTTTCAGTTGTGCTACAGTATTATATGAGTAGTTGTTTGCTCGAGTTTTGCTCCAGTTGCGGATCTCTGTGGGAGAATCCAAGACTTAACAGAAGTTGAAAAGAGTGAATAAAGTTTTTTTGTGAATATTTTTTTTTAATTAACGAAAAATGATTAGATAATATAGACTCATGAGAACCAGACCTGTTCCAGAAAGCATTAATGAGTAAAATCGAAGGCAGAAAGGTTCTAGTTTGGAAAAAAAAATTTTATAAAGAGAGAGAGAGAGAGAGATATATATCGACATCATGAGTTTGGGACTAAGAACCAAAATAAATAATGGTAGGATGCTACTCGAAGGAAAACCTTGAAAGTTTGCAATGAATTTTGTTTCTCGGGGTTCTATTAATTTTAGTAGATTTTTCTTTTTTTTTCTTCTCCCTCTTGCGAATGACAGAGCAGGAGAGTTAGCGGGTCAGTGAGAACATGAACGAGAGTCAGGAGACGAGTGAGGTTTCACCGACTCCAGACGTAGCTGAGAGGTAAGAAGTAGATCCTCGTCCTGTTTATGAGACACCGGATGCACATCAAGCAGCAGGGGGATCTGGTATGAATTTGGAAGGCCAAACTTGTGTACCTGGCACCTCAGGTGGGTATAAACGATCTGTGTCTAGCGGTTACCCTAGTTATACCTTCGATCCTCGTTCAGTTCAGGGATATTATTACCCTGAGTTTAATCAACCACCATTTAGTGGAGTCTACAATCACCTGGGATATGAGAGAAGACAATTCGAACATCCTTATATCAATACACAGTGGAGGGAGGGGGGTTATGAAGATAGTCGTAGTGAGGGTTTGAGTACCATCTCTAGTGGGCAAGAATGGAGTAATTTTGGTAATTCTGCCGTTAATATAAATACAGGGAATGTCCAGTCAGGTCAAAATGACAATCCACGACGTAGTACCATTCATCCAACTCATGCTGATTATCGTATAACTCTGACGATTCAATACTCGATCCAGCAAGCTCTAGCCAAGTAAAACTAGTTGCTTTTCTGCAAGCAATGCAACGGTGGGATATTAATTTCAGAGGTGCTCTAAGAGAAGACGTTGAGTTATTTTTGAGTCGAGTTCAAGAAAGTGTTGATTTGTTAGGAGTTAGCGATGAAGTTTTATTGAAAGCTATGCCATTCTTTTTGAAACGTAGTGCTCTTGTATGGTATCATGGTCGTATGGGCTCTCTTGCAAATTGGGTGGACGTAAACAGGGCGTTCCGCTCTAAATTTTCTGATCCAGACTATTAGATAGCGCTAAGAGAAGAAATTGCCAGAAGAACTCAGACTGAAGGGGAGCCTGTAGATTAGTACCTCGCATATATGAATGGATTGTTTGCTCGTACTGACTCTAGATGGATGGACGTGGAATGTGTTCGATATGCTCATCGGGGGTTACATCCAGCCTATCGTATAGCGATTCCTTGGAGCGATAGGTTGTCCATGGCGAAGTTGGAGAATCTGGCAGCTTGTCAGGAGCAAGTTTGGCGTAGTTTAAGAGATCGTAGGCCTCCACCTCGTCCGGAGGAATCCATTTTTTCTGCTTATGCCTACACTGATCCTAGAATCACCAACACTGGACCCTATCCTGTTATCCTCCCTCAAAGAGCTCCAGTAAATTTACAAATGATGCATCCAATGACGAGTTATCCTGCTGGAATGTTGGAGGTCATGCCACCCCGATCCAATATGGAAAAGACGGGTGATCCAACTCATCCAAACCCAACCCTTGGAGCGCTCTTCCGGCTCTAGCGCACTCACTTTGCTTTAATGAGTCAGCTACTAGAAATATTACAGTATCTTCAGATTGTGTTCCAGGATGTAGAAGCGAAGATAACTCTATAATTGATTTCTCAATCAAGTCGAATAAAAACCGTTCCTCCATGGCATTTTATGTATCTTTTCATATTGGTGACCATATCATTACAGCTCTTGTTGATTCAGGGGCCTCAAAATCTTTTGTGGGACAGAATGTTATTAATATCATTAGGGAATTAAAATTGCCAAACAAATTCATTATGTTTCGTAGAGTAGGAACAGCCAGTGGTGCCTGCCATAAGATCAATAAAGAGTTTACCTCTGATATTGAACTGAGTAAATGAGTTATCTCTATTACATTTTTATTAATATATCCGTTGTCCGAAGATTGTATACTAGGTATGGACTTTCTTCAAAAATCTGCGATAGTTATTGATTTTGCTATGAGAACGTGGTTTTTTAGAGATAATCCTCAGTCTCAGTTTACTTTCTCACCAACTATTGCAGCGTGTCAGATTACCTTATATGGTCTTCGAGAAGTAACACGGGGTGAAGGGAGTCAATTAGAACAACTATTGACTGAACTCATTCCTGAGACCCCTAAGGTATTAAATACAACGACCATGGCTGTTCACGATATTGATGTTGGAGATAGTCCAGCTACCGAACAGAATTTTACTCAGTAACTCCAGCAATTTTAGAGACCATGTGGAAAGAAGTTGATAGCATGCGGGAAACAGGGATTATAGAGCAATGCCAAAGTGACTGGGCAAGCCCAGTGGTGATGGTGAAGAGCCAAACAACACCTGGCGATTTTGTATTGATTATAGGAAAGTAAACGCGGTCACAAAGAAAGATGCGTATCCTATTCGTCACATGTCAGATATATTAGATCAACTTCGTCACACTCAGTATATAACCACGTTAGAATTGAGTCAAGCATATTACCAAATTCCTCTAACAGAAAGAGCGAAGCCTATCACTGCTTTTATCGTTCCAGGTAGAGGTTTGTTCCAGTTTACGAGGATGCCTTATGGGTTGACTAATGCTCCAGCTACCTTTCAGAGGTTATTAGATAAGGTTCTAGGCCCTGAGGTTCATTCTCATGTATTTGTCCACTTTGAATCAATTGTTAAAAAAGAATCAAACTTGGGAGTGGGGTGACGAGCAAAATAGAGCCTTCAGGAATTTGAAAGAAAAATTGACTTCTGCTCGGACATTGTCCAGTCCTGATTTCAGCGTACCCTTCACCCTGTAGACAGACGCTAGTTCAGTAAGCCTAGGAGCTGTTTTGACTCAAGTTATTGATGGAGAAGAAAGAGTGATTGCATACGTGCGTCGTTCATTAACCGATCCTGAGATAAATTATTCTATAACAGAACAAGAGTGTTTAGCAGTCATCTGGACCATACAAAAGTTTCGTTTTTATCGAAAGGGTTATTCATAACGTCAAAAATCCTACAGGTCGGCTAGCAACATGGGCTCTAGAACTATTGGAGTGTGATTTTAAAATTGTTCATTGAAAAGAGGCCCTGCACAATGTCCCTGATGCCCTGTCTCGTACTCCGGAAGATCTACACGGAAGTTTTACACTTCATAACAGCTACAGAAGAACGGTGGTGTATTCGTCGTTATAGAGGTGTCGAGAGACAGCCTCATAAATTCCCAGACTGGCGTATTAAGGATCTTAAATTATATTTTCATCGACCTTCGGCTTTTATTGACGTAGAAATTGAAGACCTAGATGCCTGGAAGTTAGTTTTACCCAGAGAGGCCAGGTTAAGAGCGCTCCAGAAAGGTCATTGTACGCCACAAGCGGGTCATCTACCTCGTAGTAAATCGGGGTTTTCGTACGTTCTAGTAATCCAGGACTTGTATGCCAAGTGGATTGAGGTCCAGCCTTTAAAAAAAGCTACAGGCAGTCTTATGAGCTCGTTTATCTACGACACCGTCGTATCTAGATGGGGTGCCCCTCGTAGATTGCTGACAGATAATGGTACAGAATTTGTAAATCATAATTTACGTCTTCTATCTAACACCATAGGGTTCAGGCATGTCATGACACCTCCATACCATCCTCAAGCGAATCCCGTCGAGCAGGTGAATCGAGTAATCAGAACCATGTTGATTTCGTTTATAGGAAACGACCACAGAGAGTGGGATAAGTTTCTTCATGACTTTCGTTTTGCACATAATACCGCTCACCATAGGGCCCCCGGGGTTGCATAGATGTTTCTGTCCTTAAGATATGTCGCGTAATAACGGGGGCAGATTAAAGATTATTAATCATAATCCGTCGTGCCCCATATTCGTACTGCCTTATATGGTGGTCTGAATACGGGCACGTGGAACACGTCGAGCGTGAGACGTGTTGGCGACCGCCGACCAAAGTGGATAAAGTTGGTACTACGGGAAGCCAAATTCCAAGCCCTGTGCCTGGGGCTGCAAAGTCAAAATATAACATGTAGGCCTAGGTACAATTGGTCAATTGAGGTCATTGGGAAATGCCATCGCGAAGAGAGTAGAGTTATTTCCCAGAGTTATGCCCAAAGAGGCGAGGTACTCAATTTCCGTCCTTCGGACGGGGGAAGCATGGTGAATATCGCTCACCATAGTTCCTAGAGTCTTCACTAGCCTTCGGGAACTTTGGACGAGACCAAAGCACTGTTCGATTACGCCAAAAGCACGAGGACCAAGTAGAGATGATAGAACGACCAACAGACGACTGGATGCAGCGTATGAGACGACTGGAAGGACTACGAGCTTCAGTAACCCATGCTCTAGAGGAAGCTCACTACTACAACCAAAAGAGGCGTGATGTAAAGAACAACATTGGAGACTTAGTTTGGAAAAACACCATGTCTTGTCATCAAGTGCTCAACATTTCTCGGCCAAATTGACACCACCATATCATGGGCGTTTCAAAATCACGAAGAAGACCTCAAAAGTCGTGTACGAAATCATTGACCTAGATGGAGTTCCAAAGGGAAAAGTCTCCATTCAAGATTTAAAGTCCTATAAAGCTTCAGTATTTAAGCTTAAAGCTTAAAAATATTTTTTTTTATTTTTGTTTTCTTTCACCCGCATGCTCTAGTACAGTAGTGTCTCTTAAAATTTTCCCTACTTAACCATTGTCCGTTTAGTGCTTCATTTTTTACTTGTAGATTGTTGAACTAACCTAAAAATTTCTGGGTGAATTGAATGACGAAGACCATTTGTATTTTTCAGGTATCAGAAGACGATTGAGAACTGCTCCAGTATGGCCGGATGTCATCCAGATGATGACGCGTTTAACTTTGTTAAGTGCCAAGGGCAGGAAAAAGTAGCGGAAGGTGACGAGAACTTGGGGGTAGACTCGTCAGACGGGAGCGATCTCGAATCTATTCCACAAGCAAGGCGTGGTTGACCAGGACCCGGAGGGCTGGGCACCTTAGAGCTGGATAAAGGTATAGTGATGGATAAAGATCCCCTGTGGGATCCTATTAGGCAGTACGTTCCAGCACTAGTATAGCTAGATGAATATCAACCTGGCTTAGTGAGAGCTCTAGGGGCAACATCCAAAGCCTTGGGACACAAAGTCAACCAAACGTGTCCACTTAAGGAAAAGTTTGGCATCAAGATTCGCCACGCGCTACCCGAGGAGATCCGGGAGGTGCCCAGGATGATAGATGTGGGAGTCCAGAGTGATCCGATGAAGAAGAGGATTACGTTAGTACCCCCTAGAAACTTGTCAACCCACACACTTGTGGGAAATGGGAGTGGTGGGCCAGATCTAGCAGCTCACTGTCTAGCTTTTCTCATGCTTGGAGTGGCCCTAACTAACAAGATTAACTTGCCTCTAGCTACAGTCAAAGCCACCTCAGGTCCAGTCAAATCAGATATTGAGGCTCCAGGTTCAGTGAAACCAGTGACAACGATTCCAGATCGATCCAGGAAGATCCCGCTCACGATACCAGAGACCGAGAAATTATGCTGGAGCTGCCGAGAATCGGGCCCCCGCTACAGCTAATGCCCTCAGCAGAGACGAGTCTTCTGCCAGGTGTGTGGGCGGAGAGGAGTTACCGCTCGTACATGTAGCCATTGTCATCAACGGTGGGAGAAGATGGGGCCATATGTTCCATAATATGGCAGGAACATACCTCGAGCTTCATCCACTTCGGAGGACACCTCTCGACCAAGTACGAGTCAAGCTTGGTGACTCGACTGACCCCAATGACACCTTGTCACACGTTTTTTTTTCATTTTTATTTTATTATTCTATTTTCTATTTAACATTAAATTCTTTCCATTATCTCTCCTTATTTATAAAATTTCACTTCACTACGTTAACTATTTTTTTTTGTGTTTCTTTATAAACAATATTTGAATATTTTTTTTTTGAGATAATTTTAGGCAGGTGCCATAACTGCTTCCTAGTAAAGACACATTATTATTAATATTATTCTACTGATATTACGAAAGCAATACAAATTCCTAAAAGTATACCATATACCACTTCACTTATAATTTCTATTTTCCTAAAATAGTAGATTAACCATAATTATGTGTTAAATATTAATGTAATGGACAAAAAAAAAATAATAAATAAGGGTTCCCTGAAAGTAATCTGATACAACAGTGTGTGAAAACCCTAACTCAAACCTCATCCCGAAATCCGACCTCGTGTAACTTACTAGTGTTAGTGCTACAGCCAAGATAATATGAAGAAACTGGGGGAAAGATGGATGAATCCAGGAACTGCAGCTAAATATGAATGCACCTCGCGTATGGTAAGTTTCGGAAGTTTCATTGTTACTTACGTTGGTAGCTGTCACCATACTTAGACAATAATGTGATCAGAGACTTAGGCTAGTTCAAATTCATGCTAAAGTACTTTATGGGCTGTTGCATGGCCCCAGCAGTTAGGTTGTCCTCTTTCCAGTAGTCTTGTCTCAAAATAATAAACACACCGAAAGAAACTGGGGAGAATTAACGAGAGAGAGCTATCACTCCATAGGCCTTAAGTGTTTAGCCAAAGAAAAAATAAAGAAAAAAAAAGAGTAATAATAAAAATAATAATCAGCGCTTATAGAGCATTCGCTATGTCTCTTTGTTGTATGTGTTTCGACTGCTCCAGCTTACAATGGTTCAGAGAACCTTGGCTAACGTAAGTACGTGAAGAGAAATAATTAAATAAGATACAATGCTTCGAGATTATGCTAAGGTTTAGTTTGCTCTAGGAAATCATTTAGCATTAATAATTAATCATTGTAGTTGAGTTGTCCCAGCATATGATTTAATTGTTGCACGACCAATTCTTTTGTTCATCGGATTGCTCTAGTTGAGATGCTTTGGAAAGTAAAGAGTTTTTTGAAGTAGTTAATAAAATGAGTTACTTTATAAGCTCTAAGGCTTTGATAAATTTGTCTAATTTCAAGATGTTCTCGTCAAGTTACAGTTTTGATTTTATAATTTTTCGAGTGGTCCAGGTTAATGTACAGAAGAACATGAGACTCTACGTCTGTGCATATCAGGCGTGGGTTCGAGCTGAGCAAAAAGTACAAGTAGAGTCCAGTAAAGTTGTGAGGCAGTTCCAGTATGCAGTGAAATCAGAACAAAGTTCCAATTAACCAACAAACAGTCACAGCTATCCAGTATCATCAGAGGCAGAAAATGGAGTGTTCCAGTTGTTCCAGTTTATATTAAATCTTTTATTGCAAATGTACTGAAGAAGATTGTGTCAGTGAAGACATTATTACTCATAGTTAAGATAAGTTATAAAGTATTTCAGTCGAAGGAATTATAGTTATTATTGTTATTATTTGTTTCCAAAAATTATTGTAAAAAGAGGTAGGAAGATTATGTATGTAATTCTGGTAGTAGAAAAAGATTCAATAGGATGAGGAGAAGAAACGAGCATTTGTGAAGTGGAGAACCATTAAGTGGAGAAATGAATCGCTAACGTGGAGTAGAGGGCCAACGAAACGTGCCACCCGTTAGACGGTCCATGCTAGGAGACGTTCTAGCCCTATGAGTTATCATCATCCGGTCAGGTCCAGCAACGTGGCACTCCAATAAAAGAGATGGATGTGTGAAAGGTGCATTTTGAAGATTTTGTGAAATAGTTAGATTTAAGTTAAAGAATTAGTTGTAAGTCTGCAGGCCTTGTGGGGGAAGCCTGATCA